CGCTAACCGGGGAATCGAACATCGATCTCCTGGATCCTAGGTCGATGCTCAACCACTGAGCCACACCCAGCCAGCAACAAAAAGTCTTAAAGAGACAACGATGAAGGAGGAGGAAGAGGAGGAGGAACATAGATATGAATAATAAAATGTCAATAACTACATACATATCAATAATCACTTTAAATTAAACGGACTAAATGTTCTAATCAAAAGACATAGGGTGGCTAAATGGATAAGAAAACAAGACCCATACATATGCTGTCTACATGAGACCCACTTCAGATCAAAAGACACACACAGACTGAAAGTCAAGGGATAGAAAAAGATATTTAATGCAAATGGAAATGAGAGAAAAAACTGGGGTAGCAATACTTATATCAAACAAAACAGACTTTAAAACAAAGGCAATAGCCCAACCAGTGTGGCTCAGCAGTTGAGCATCGACCTATGGGTCCAGGAGATTGTGGTTCAATTCCCCGTCAGGTCAAATGCCTGGGTTTCAGGCTGCATCCCCAGCAGGGGGCGTGCAGGAGGCAGCCGATCAATGATTCTCTCATCATTGATGTTTATCTCTCTCTCCCCTCCTCTCTCTGAAATAAATACATATTTTAATTAATAAATAAAACAAAGGCTATAATAAGAGACAAAGGACATTTCATAATGATAAAGGGATCAATTCAACAAAAGGATAGACTCCTTGTAAACACTTATGCACCCAACAGGAGAACCTACATATATATATGAAGCAAATACTAATGGACATAAAGGGAGAGAGTGACAGTAATACAGTCGTAGTAGGAGATTTTAATGCCCCATTGACATCAATGGATAGATCTTCCAGACAGAAAATCAACAAGAAAGCAGCAGCCTTAAATGACACATTAGACCAGATGTATTTAATTAAAATTTTTAGAGCATTTCATCCCAAAGCAGCAAATATATATTCTTTTCAGGTGCACATGGAACATTTTCCAGGACAGATCACATGTTAGGCCACATAAGTCTCAATAAATTTAAAAAGACTGACATCATATCAAGCATCTTCTCTAATCACAATGATGTGAAATTAGAATTCAATTATAAAAAAAAATTTTGAAAAACAAACACATGGAGGCTAAATAACATGCTACTAAACAATGAATGGGTTAACAATGAGATCAAGGAAGAAATCAAATGATACCTTGAGCCAGTGTGGCTCGGCAGTTGAGCTTCAATCTATGGCCCAGGAGATCACAATTCAATTCCCTATCAGGTAACATGCCAGGGTTGTGGGCTTGAGCCCCACTGGGGGTAATGCAGGAGGCAGCCGATCAATGACTCGCTCATCACTGATGTTTCTACCTCTCTCTCCATCTCTCTCTGAAATCAATAAAGATATCTTTTAGTTTAAAAAAAAAAAAAAGATAATTTGAGCCATGGCCGGTGTAGCTCAGTTGAGCATCCTCCCATGTGCTGAAAGGTCACCAGTTCGATTCCTGGTCAGGGCACATGCCCAGGTTGCAGATTTGGGGTGCATACAGGAGGCAACCGATTGATGTTTCTCTCTCACACTGATATTTCTCTCTCTCTCCCCCACTCCCTCTCTCTAAAATCAATAAAAACATATTTTTTAAAAGATACCTCGAAACAAATAAAAACACAACAGCCCCAAATCTATGGGACACAGTGAAAGCAATACTAAGAGGGAAATTCATAGTAATACAGGCCTACCTCAAGAAACAAGAAAAATCTCAAATAAACAATCTAAACTTACACCTAAAGGAACTAGAAAAAGAACAGCAAACAAAGCTCAAAGTGAGTAGAAGAAAAGAAATAATAATAAAAAATTCCCAACAAACAAAAGTCCTGGACCAGATGGTTTCACAGGTAAATTTTACCAAACATTCAAAGAAGAATTAACACCAATTCTTCTCAAACTATTCCAAAAACTTCAAAAAGAGAGAAGGCTCCCAAACTCATTTTACAAGGCCATCGTTACCCTGATTCCAAAACCAGACAAAGACCTTATAAAAAAGAAAATTATAGGCTAATATTCCTGATGAACATAGATGCAAAAAATCCTCAACAATGCAAATTAAAATCCCAATGAGATATCACCTCACACCTGTCAGAATAGCTATCATCAATAAATCAACAAAGAAGTGTTGGAGAGGATGTGAAGAAAAGGGTACCCTTGTACACTGAGATTGGTGGGATTGCAAATTGGTGCAGCCACTATGGAAAACATTATAGAGGGTCCTCAAAATATTAAAAGTAGAACTAACTTATGACCCAGCAATTCCACTTCTGGGTATTAATCCAAAAAAATCCAAAACACTAATTTCAAGATATATGCACCCCTATATTCACTGCATTATTTACAATAGCCAAGATATGGAAGCAACCTAAGTGCCAATCAACAGATGATTGGATAAAGACGTGGTACAATAGAGTATATATACAATGGAGTATTATTCGGCCATAAAAAATAATGAAACTTTACCATTTAAGACAGCAGAGATGAACCTATAGGGTATTATGCTAAATGAAATAAGTCAGTCAGAGAAAGATGAACAGCATATGATTTCATTTATATGTGAACTCTAAAGAACAACACAGATGAACAAACAAAACAGAAACAGACTCACAGATCCAGAGAACAAACTGATGGCTGCCAGATGGGAGGTGGATTAGGGGAATAGGTGAAAAAGGTGAAGGAATGAAGAAGTACAAATTGGTAGTTACAAAATAGGGGGATGTAAAGTACAGCATAGGGAATATTGTAAAAACTGTCCAGCCCGCATGGCTCAGTGGTTGAGCATCAACCCATGAACCAGGAGATCATGGTTCGATTCCTAGTCAGGGCATATACCCTGGTTTCAGGCTCCATCCCCAGGGGGCGTGCAGGAGGCAGCCAATCAATGATTCTTTCATCAATGATGTTTCTATTTCTCTCTCCCTTCCCCTTTCTCTCTGAAATCAATAAAGATATATTTTATTATAATAGTATTGTATTAACTATGAATTGTGCCAGGTGGGTACTCAAGTTATTGGGGAGATCACTTCGTAAGTTACATTAATGTCTAGTCACTATGCTGTACACCTGAAACTACTATAAGATAATACTGAATGTCAACTCTAACTGAAATTTAAAAATTTTTTTAAAGACAACTTATTCTATGAAGAGGAAAAAAGGATGCTAAAGAACCAGTTTTCTAGTCTCTCTTCTTTGCTAAGTCAGCTACCCTTACAACTAACAGAAGAGAAAAATGAAAATACCTGTTAATTAGATGAAAACATTCAAAGGCTTTTTATCAAAAAATATTTACTATTAAGAACCTAAATATCAATTCATCCCTTTTAAAATGAGTTTTTCTGAAATTTTTCACACAAAGACCCACTATAGGTAATAATATAAAAGTCTTATTAAACACATAAATATTTTAAGTCAACTCAGAGTATTGGGGGGGGGAGAGACATGGAATTTTCTGTGTCCACATTGAATAGCTGTAAAGAAAACTATTAACCATGATGTAGGTAATGCAGCAGTCACCTGCAGTCTGTGGAACAAGCACAGAGCTGTTTTGTTCTCAGCCATCCACATCCCCAATGAGGTCAATAGTATGCACTCTGTGCTCACCACAGATGTCTGCACAGGAACAGGGATCATGCTGGCTGCCTGAGGGACACACCCTCTGCAGAACCCTTTGTGGTGGGCTTAACTTTTTTTCTATAGGAGTTAAGGGTAGGGACAGGAAAAAGCAAAGGATCTGAAGAGCATAAACTTGACTTAAGGTCTAGTTTTGTTACTTTAAGCTGTGGGATGCTGAACAAATCACTTAGCCTCTCTGAATACCAGTATCCTAATGTCTATAATGGGGATATTACAATATCAAGCTGATAAGATTTTTAAAGGCTTCAATTAAAGAGATTTTGAATGTGAAGGCACCCAGCATAGCACGTGGCAGTCACTCAGAACCTGTCTGTTTATTCATTCCTCCCTGAACATCCTAATTGAACTTAATCACCAGAACCTGGATTAGAGTTACGCCTGGAGACATGCCTAGGTGGCAGTAAGCACCTAACTTGTGCACTCACCTTAATGGCCATGAAGCAAGGTGCTTATCTTCCTCTATCCTCGAGGTATTTTTAATTTCTACCAAAATACTGCAAACTGCTCTGGCCCGTGTTGCTCAGTTGGTTGGGCGACGTGGGGTGCACCAAAGGGTGGGGGGTGCTGGTTTGATTCCTGGTCAGGGCACATGCCCCCGGTTGGGGGCTCCATCCTTAGTAGAGGGCACGCAGGAGGCAGCCAATCGATGTTTTGCTCTCACATCGATGTTTCTCTCTCTCTCCCTCTCCCTCCCTCTCTCTCTCTAAAAATCAATTTAAAAAAATTTTTTTAATTGCAAACTGCCAAATGGGCTCTAACAAGCAACTTAAGATAAAATGAGTTTAATGCAACATTTCCCCACTAGGTGGTGCTGCACGTTAAAACTTTCACTCTAATTTACCCCCAATATATTAATTTCAAAAGCAGGAAAAACGACGGACGCTACCCGTAAGAGGAAAGAAGAATCGATGTGTCACCATAAAGATAATTTATTAATAATTTCTCAAAAAGAATCACACCAACACAAATTAGTTAATTCAACATTCGGTCACCCCATTTACAGCGAGCGCGCCCTGAGGAGACAGTCCCTGCTCTCACCGAGCGTACAACCTAGAGGAGCGAACAGCACTTTTAGTCACATCGATGACCCTAACCATCAAGTATTTTTACAACTACTTATATATTTTCTAAAGAACAAAGGTCGTCCTCGTTAGTTTTCCGGTTGAGAATTTCGTAGACTGCAAGATTTTTTCAAACCAAGGGAAAAGTCTCGGACCAGCGCGTCTGACCGGCGCCGCTACCGAAGTCCGAGCCCGAAAGCCCGGCGCACTTCGGTCCCTCCCGCCCCTCAGCCCGCGCCTCGGAGCCTCGGCCTCCTCCCGCACCGGGCGCCTCGGCACCCACTCACCATGGCCGCGAGGCTCGGGCTCCAACCCC